GATAGATAGATAGATAGATAGATAGATAGATAGATAGATAGATAGAAATGACGTTTGGGAAAGAAATAAAACTTATAGAAATAGCTAGCTCATTCACTAGTTAGCTAGGTACATACTATGTTTGAAAAAAACAGAAATAGTTCCTTTCCCTAGCTAGCTAGCTAGCTAGAAAGAAAAGAAAGAAAGAAAGAAAGAAAAGAAAGAAAGAAATAAAAAAGGGATAGATAGATAGATAGATAGATAGATAGATAGATAGATAGATAGAAATAGATAGATAGATAATGACGTTTGGGAAAGTTCCCTTCCCTTTATAGAAATAGCTAGCTATCATTCACTAGTTAGCTAGGTACATAATATGACATGTTTGAGAAAAAATAGAAATAGCTAGCTAGCTAGCTAGCTAGTTCCTTTCCCTTCAAAGAAAAGAAAGAAAGAAAGAAAGAAAGAAAGGATAGATAGATAGATAGATAGATAGATAGATAGATAGATAGATAGATAGATAGATAGATAGATGATAATGACGTTTGGGAAAGAAATTTATAGAAATAGCTAGCTCATTCACTAGTACATTTCTTACATAATGACATGTTTGATAGAAAAAATAGAAATAGCTAGCTAGCCTCTAGAAAGAAAAGAAAGAAAGAAAGAAAGAAAAGAAAGAAAGAAAGAAAAGAAAGATAGATAGATAGATAGATAGATCATAGATAGATAGATATATAGATGTAGATAGATGAATATGACGTTTGGGAAAAAGAAATAAAACTTATAGAAATAGCTAGCTCATTCACTAGTTAGCTAGGTACATAATGACATGTTTGAAAAAAAAAATAAAAAACTAAGCTTACATTCTTACCTAGTTCCCTTTCCTTCATAGAAACAGAAAAGAAAGAAAGAAAGAAAAGAAAGGATAGATAGTTCCCTTTAGATAGATAGAAATAGATAGATAGATAGATAGTAGATAGATAGATAGATAGATAATGACGTTTGGGAAAGAAATAAAACTTATAGAAATAGCTATTTCTTCACTAGTTAGCTAGGTACATAATGACATGTTTGAGAAAAAAAATAGAAATAGCTAGCTAATAGGTACATTTTAAAAGAAAACCTCGTTCTTTTCCCTTCATAGAAAATAGAAAGCTACTATAGATAGATAGATAGATACCTAGTTAGATGAATCCCTTAGATAGAAATAGATAGATAGATAATGTAGAATTTTTTGGGGAAAGAAATTTCCCTTATAGAAATAGCTAGCTCTATTCATTTCTTCCTCTACCATAAGATTGTTTGAGAAAAAAGCTAGAAATAGGTAATTTCTTCCTCTACCTCGTTCCCTTTCCCTTCATAGAAAAAAGAAATCTTCTATGCTAGAAAGAAAAGGATACTAGTTAGATAGATAGATAATTCCTAGATGATAGATCTATGGTAGATAGATAGAAATAGATAATGACGTTTCAAAGAAATAAAACTTATAGAAATAGCACATTTCATTCCTAGTTAGCTAGTTCCCTTTCCTTCAGAAAAAACAGAAATAGCTAGCTATGGTAGATAGCTAGAAAGATAGAAAGTTCCCTTTCCCTTCATAGAAGATAGATAGATAGATGATAGATAGATGATCTTAGCTACTAGATGAAATTTCCCTTCATAGAAATAGATAGATCATTATGGTACGTTTGGGAAAAGAAATAGAAACTTATAGTTCCCTTTCTCAAAAATAGAAACAGCTAGCTACTAGTACATTTCTGACATGTTTCCCTTCATAAAATAGCTAGCTACTAATGTATAGCTAGCTAGTTCCCTAGCTTCATAGAAAAAGAAAGCTAAGATGGAAAGAAAGAAAGAAAGAAAGAAAAGGATAGATAGATGAAATAGATAGATAGATAGATAGATAGATAGATAGATAGATAGATAGATAGATAATGACGTTTGGGAAAGAAATAAAACTTATAGAAATAGCTAGCTTCATTCACTAGTTAGCTAGGTACATAGAAACATGTTTGAGAAAAAAAAAATAGAAATAGCTAGCTAAGCTAGCTAGAAAGAAAGAAAGAAAAGAAAGAAAGAAGAAAAGTAGAAAGAAAGAAAGATAGAAATAGATAGATAGGATAGATAGATAGATAGAAATAGATAGATAGATGGTAGATAGATAATGACGTTCCCTTTGGGAAAATAAAACTTATAGAAATAGCTAGCTCATTCACTAGTTAGCTAGGTACATAATGACATGTTAGAGAAAAAGCTAGCTAATAGCTATTTCTTTAGCTAGCTAGAAAAAGAAAGAAAGAAAGAAAGAAAGAAAGAAAGAAAGAATAGAAAGCTAGCTAGATATGGATAGATGAAGTTAGATCCCTTCATAAATAGATAGATAGATAGATGAATAATGATAATGACGTTTGGGAAAGAAATAAAACTTATAGAAATAGCTAGCTACTATTGGTAGTTTTCTAGGTACATAATGACATGTTTGAGAAAAAAAAATAGAAATAGCTAGCTAGCTAATGTAGAATTTCTTTCCTCTACCTCGTTCCCTTTCCTTCAAAGAAATAGAAAGATAGATAGATAGATAGATAGATAGATAGATCGAGATAGATAGATAGATAGAAACGTTTGGGAACTATAAAACTTTTAGAAATAGCTACCTATTCACTAGTTCCCTTCATAAGAAATGTTTAGAAAAAATGGTAAATTTCTTCCTAAGCTAACCTAGTTCCCTTTCCTTCATAGAAAAAACAGATAGCTACTATGAAAGACAAGAAATAGATAGATAGATCCCTAGATGAATTCATAGAAATAGGAAAGAAATAAAGTTTATAAATCTGTTAACTTCTTCCTCTACCTAGTTCCCTTTCCCTTCATAGAAATAGCTAGGTACATATGGTACATAGAGAAAAAAACCTCGTTCCCTTTCCCTTCATAGATAGAAAAGAAACTATGGGAAAGAAAGAATAGATAGATCCCTTTAGATAGATAGAAATAG